TCCTCGGTTTGGGTCTGGATAACTTGTTATTGGTGCTCTTGTTGGTGTTGTTGTTGTTGTTGTTGGTGGTGGTGGTGGTGGTGGTGGTGTTGTTGTTGTTCATTATCGACATATTGTGTTGAGATTTGGCTGAACCAGTGTATTGTTACTACTATGCTGCTGATGATGATCATGAGGATCATGATGGTTATGCTGCTGATGGCGATGATGATGATTGGGGTGACGATTACTGTTGTTAGTGTTGTTCTTACCAGGATCGCCTTATAAGATTATTACTATTACTATCGCTATTGCTGCTGTTGTTATGATTGTACGTTGAGTTCGCATCCGTACCTTTTCAGCAAGGCTTAACTTTAAAGGGGCTCAAAGGGTCTTCAAGAGGAGCCCAGGATCTGCAAACAGCCGTCAATCCCCAACACCCGAAGCCCTAAACCCCACGAAAGGCCGTAAGCTATGCGGAGTAGCCCGGATCAGAAAAACCCTGGAAGATACATAAAATCGACTACCGACCCTGGGCGCGGGGGAAACGAACCGACGAACAACATCAAGATACACAAAGAAAGCCCTAAACCCTAAACCCCAAAACCCCTAAACCCTAAACCAACCAACCAACCAACCTAACAGATCAGCCCAGGATAAGCTTGATGCTTCTACTGGACTACTCGGCCGAGCTTCGCGCGCTGCACCCGATGCTGACACTTCTTGGGCCCGACGAAGGGGAGAGCAGCCAGGGTGGCAAGTTGCGGAAAGGGTTCAGGGATTTAGGGTTTAGGGATTTAGGGTTAGGGATTTAGGGTTTAAGGATATAGGGTTTAGGGTTTAGGGCTTTGGGTTTAGAGGTATGGGCCGCTAATATGGACCCTAAGGCCTTTCTAGGGACCCTTAAGGGTACATATAGGGTAACTAGTAGGTGTAGAAGGATCTCAGGTTAAGGGCCCATACTAGGGGCCCATGGTTTCAAACCTTAGACAAGTTGCGGAGCTTTTGGGGTGTTTTTTGAGGTTAAGGACTTAACATAGGGGCCTGAATAATTAGAGTTGGGTTTCGGGGCCCATTATGGTATACTTCTAATCAGGAACCCCCCAAAATGGTATTGGTATTTTTTATGCCCCAACATCAGGGTTTAGGGTTTTGGATGCTACTGAAATTCCTTCTGTTCTTGATGGAAGAGGCTTTTGGGCTCTTGAAGCTGCAACTGAGGCAAGTCGTTCTGTATTGTGGTCCTGGCCAGCGAGGCCGTCGTGATCGTCGCTACCACGGCGTGGCACCCAAAGGTCCAAAGAAGTGCCGTAGGTCGCCCCTTGTCGCGAGTCCTTCTCTACACCGAGCCTTCGGACCCTGGCAGTCGCAACTTCTGGCCACTTAGTGGCTGTAGGTAACCTTTAACCTTTTGGGGCTCTTCTAATCCTACTATAATTCAAAAGCTTAACCTTTTTTGGGCTAGAGTACTAAGCCCCTAAGGCCACCCTGGCGCTTGCAGAGGGGCGGCTTCGAGGCCGTTTCCGAGATCTGCGGAAGTGTACGCAGGTTCTTGAAGACCTGGCAAGGCCGTCACTGGATTATGGTTGTGACCTGGCCGTTCTTTCACGGTTTAGGGTTTAGGGTTTAGGGTTTAGGGTGTCTGATAATAAACCATGTAGGTTTAGGGTTTAGGGTTATGTTCTGGATCAGGGCCAAACATGTTGATTAAACGGCCCCTTTGAACTTAATCGAACTAGGTGAATGCCTGCATCAGTACCGCGGTGTGCATGTATCAGTATGTGCAGTCGGACTCCAGCCCACGGGAAACCTTGCTGGCAGTGGTTCTTTGCTTCGGCCTGCTTTCAATATTTACCAGCGCCTTCGCCTTGTCATCTGATTCCTTCCAGTGGGAACAGAAGCTGGATCGGCATTTTCGCTGGAGCGTACTGTGGAAGGTCGATATGCTAGCCAGCAAGGTCGTGTTGCTGGCCATACCTCAAGCCAGCTCAGTGGTGCAGATGGACTCTATCATGAGCTGTGGTTTCGATACTTTCTGTCCCAGTCACTGCCTGGATCAAGGTGGATACTGCACACGCTCCAACATTGCAGGCAGCCCGGTGTGCAAGTGCAGCAAGCGAGAGGTGAACTGGGCTGTATACGTCCTGACTGCCATTACCAGCTTCCTACTCTGCATGCTCACGTTGCTACTCGGACGATCCTGAGGATGAACCTTACTTAGCGGATCAGGGGACTTAGTAAGTAGCCAAATGCAAGAAGAACCGGTCAGGATGAGTCTGTCAATCTTTTCAGAACCATCACTTCCGGAAAGCTACCGACGATGATAATGGCATCGACAGCAGTGACATGAATGGCAGCTGTGATAGTTGATAGTTAAGTTCGTACGGACAGAGATGCTGCCTTGTTTTCAATGTAGTTTCTTATAGACAAATTGGTCATGATGAGCGTGGCGATACCGATTGTTTTGGCAACAATGGGAGTCATAGGTGCAACCGTGGCAAAGGACCGGTCGGTTTTCTCATTAACCTGAAGATAAGGATGATAGTTCCAGTATGTTCTAGTCATATTTGCAATGATTCTCAAGTTGCTGCCTGCAGTCATACAAGTAATCCTTCAAACCTACACCCCGAACCAAGGCCTCTACTAAGCCTAATCGCAAGCCGAACCTAAACCCTTAGGCTTCAGGGTTTAGTTTTTTAGGGTTTAGGGGTTTAGCGTTTAGGGTTTAGGATTTAGGGGTTTAGGGATTTAGGGGTTTAGGGCTTAGGAGTTCAGGGTTTGGGGTTTACGGTTTAGGGGTTCAGGGTTTAGGGCGTGTTCACATACAGCACCGTTGAAGACTTGACATCGTGGATTCGATTTTGGATCTATGAACCGAACGGATCTAAGGGTGCTGGTGCTCGGGTTGGAGGGTTTAGGTCCTTTTTGATAGAAGGTCTATATACCTCATAGAAGCCTTATAGGCGCCTTATATACCCTAAACTCCCCACCACTAGTTTCCTTTAGTTTAGGTTATTGGGCCGTCGGGAGATGTCACGTAACGTGTGCAAATAGACCAAATTTGACAAGAACCAGACCCTGGTTTAGTTTTCCCTAAAGGGTCCATGTACCCAAATGGGTGGTTGTCAAAATTATGGTCCCTGTTTGGGTCCTTATTATAATACGGCACCTATTATTTAGGGTACCCCAAAAGGGACCATTATTTTGACAACTACCCAAATAGTAATACATTGGCCCCAAAGTATCTCTATAGGGACTACATTAAGGCCAAAGTATATACCATTTGGGTACATGGACCCTTAGGGTTTTCTGAAGTGGCCACTGGGAAGTCCAGCCACCTCAGCTTACATTTATAATCCTAAGTCAAGTATAAACGGCCACCTCAGCTTACATTTATACTGAAACCCTAAACCCTAAACCCGAAACCCTAAACCCTAAACCCTAAACCCTATAAGTCAAGTTGTTACTATAATTTTTGTTGATAGGAGTTTCGGAGTTTCGGATGCAGGACCATGTTGCAAGGTGTTGGGGTCCCGGTGCAAAGCCCAACATGCTCAATACTAACCGGTAGCCCCGAACCTTACAACATGGTAGGTGATAGCCCCTTGATTATAGGGTCTGACCCAAAAAAGCCTTACAACATAGTAGGTGATGGCCCATTAATTGTAGGGTCTGACCGCAACATAGGGGGTCGGATCCACAGGAAGACCCCCTTAAACCCCGAACTTAAAGGCTCTTGTCATGCTCGGCGCGTGTGCACCGAGTTTTTTGTTCCTTCGCTTCGGGCTGAGGGCTCCGCAGGGTTTATAGGGTTTAGGATTTAGGATAATGGGGTTCTTACTAGCTAACTATAGTAATAATTTCCCCTAAACGTTACAACTATATAGTATAGTATGATGTACACAGAATCCTATTCATTTCAATGGTTCATGACACTACGAAGGTCTTGGACGCGGACCGCGGGGTTTGGAACCTTCTTGAAGGGTTGATGAGCCAACCGCGAATATTGATTGCTCGAGGATCTTAGCAGGCTACGGGACATAGTAAACGTGAGGTTGTAAGTACCTTAGTTGGGATTATAACTAAGTTTATAAATGCAACTACCTGGCTTTATAATTTCACACGAAGTCTGATGCTTCTTTAAGTGCAGATGTCGGATGCCTAATGTCAACTTTTGAAAAGTCCAAACTGCGTAGACGGCGTAGACCCCTTTTAAAAGCTTACACGGCCGTTATCGGACCCTTTGCAACTGTAATCCAGAGTCAAAGGTCCTTTCAAACTGGTTGGTTATTTGCCGGCAGAATATGGCCACAATCCGTCACCATTGGCTTTGCTTGGTTTCTTTTTGTAATGCATGAGACTTCCGGTTTGAATAAGTGTCTGAAACCCAAGTGCTTAAGTTTTGGATACTTCGACATTCAGAGAGAACCATAACTCGCTAGTGCAGAAGCTTACAAGCCTAACACGCTAACCTTCCTGCCAAGACCTTATTTTAAACACCCTAAGCCGCTGAATCCTGGAGTTTCTCACAATGCCCAAGGCCTCAAACGTCCCGCATAAGCAGCCCGTGCGCGAAACCTTTGAACCCTGAACTGTCAAAGCCTTCGTGAAAACCTGGTAGAAACCCCATACAGCCTACAGGGCCCGAAATTGAAACCCCAAACCCCATGACCCTAAATCCTAAGCCGCTAAGCCCCTACACCCTAAAGCCCGAAATTGAAACCCCAAAACCCATGACCCTAAACCCTAAGCCCTAAGCCCCTAAGCCCCTAAGCCCTAAACCCAAAACCCTAAACCCTAAACCCTAAACCCCAAAACCCTAAACCCTAAACCCTAAACCCTAAACCCCAAAACCCTAAACCCCAAACAGGCAGCCCAAGCAAGGCGAAGCCGAAGCGGCGAAGGCCGAAGCAGCTTCGAGCCGTGCATCATAGGGGTTTAGGGTTTAGGGTTTAGGGTTTAGGGTTTAGCATCAGCTTTGCTTTGGAGGGGTTTCGGCGAGTTTAAGGTTTGGGGGCCTTTGCCTTCGGCTTGCAAGGTAGGGTTTAGGGTTTAGGGTTTAGGGGTTTAGGGTTTAGGGTTTAGGGTTTAGGGTTTAGGGGTTTAGGGTTTAGGGGTTTAGGGGTGTGGGTTGGGGTCCTTATAGTAGGAATCCTACTGTTTGGGGGCCTTTGCCTTGTTTACGTTCCCTGCCCTGCCACGGATTGCGTTGAGGCGACCAGCCCCGGCAGCCCCGGCCTAGCCCCAGCCGCAGGTGCAGCTCAGTCTTAGCCCCCGCAGCCCCAGTCCCAGCCCCAAAATGAAGATTTCGATTGCCGCAGTGCTGCCTTGTCCTGCTCCTTTCCTGCCCTGGCGTTCCTTGCACGCTGCCCTGACTTTGCCCTGCCCTCTGCTTGCTCTTTGCCTTGTTTTGGACCCTAAACCCTAAACCCTAAACCCTACCCCAGCCCAGTTCCAACCCTTGGGCAGCACCAAGCTGGTGAACTACTGTAGCCCTGCCTTAAGAACCCAAAACCCACTTTTTTGTTGGTTCTTATCATAAACCCTAACACAAAAGTAGGTTTTGGATTCTTAGGGTGAACCTTCAAACCAAGTCTGTCGACCACTCAGTTGAGAGCTTCCTCGTAGTAGAGCAGGTATCCGGTAATATCTTTTGATTTTTTCTGGGGTATTCTAATACCTAGATCTTCCCAAAGGAGAACCTTTCGTTTTCGCTAAAGCATTGGACATGTTAGGTTTGGGGTAGCTGAAGCTGATGCTGCCCCAGTCCCTTTGTCTCAGAGAAAGTTGCCCGTTGACAAGGCGCCCCATCAGCAATGCCAAGGGAACCAGGCGCCGTGGGAAATGAGGAGGGTATTTTTGGTGTTCAGGGCTCTGGGTTCCGGGACTAGGCCCATGTCTCGGATAAGTAGGCTTACAGCTGAGGTATCTGCTTGAACTGATCCATGTCAAGTGCGGTGCCTCAAACTAAAAACCCCGAAACACCTCAGTAGGCAAGATGTAACCACTTTTGGGTAATTACTGTAGTCCCTATATAGTCCCGATATACTCCCAGACGTTAACCTTTTGTTCCTACTTGGAGGGTCGGGGACTTAGTAAATGGTTATTTTATAGACTTATAAGTACTATAGCCCCAATTAGGGTCCCTTTTAGGGTACTTACAAGTCTACTTATTCCCTACTTACTAAGTTTCCCGACCCTGCAAGTAAGGATATCGGACAAGTAAGACACGCTAGCAAGCCGCCTGACACCAGCAGCCGGTCTTGTGGCCCCTTACACACCCTGGAACCTAGAGGCTCAACATATCTATATATATATATATATTATGTTATATAATATAATATATGTATATATATATATAATATATATAATATGTATATATATATATATATAATATGCATATATATATATATGTATATATACTACTATTATGGACCCAAGCCCCTAGAGTCCTAGAGGCCATCCTAATCATGGCATAGGGGGACCTAATTCCAGAATTTTACATTTTTTTTGTGGATTTGCTTGGAAAGCTGGTAGCTGAGAAGGGATCTGTTTCTTCCTTTCGGGGGTTTGAACAACTATATCGGAATCAAAACGGTTAGCCTTTGAGGGCCTAAGCTAAACAATAGAACGTCATAATTAAGCTTTCAGTGACAAGGACCTTACTTAAATCACAAGGCAAAAAGGAAGTGAGTTGACGATACTCTCTAAGCCTCGACGACTTGTGGGTCGCCAATATGTTGCCCTTTGGTACAGAACCTACAAACATATGGGGGTTTCCGAAAAAAGGGGACCTAACATAGTACCCTAAATAGTAGGACCCCTATTATAAGGACCCCAGAATAAGGTACCCTTATTTTCGGAAACTCCCATATCTGGGAGTTTCAGAAAGTTAGGGGTACCTTATTTTGGGGTCCTTTTAGTAGGGATCCTATTATTTAGGGTACTATATTAGGGTCCCTTATTTTCGGAAACTCCCATATCTGGCTTTGGGAAAAAACACCCTTGAGCGAATCGCTTCGCGCAAGCCCCGGGTCCTCAAATTCAAACCCGGAAGGGTTCAGGATTTCGGGTTTAGGGTTTAGGGTATAGGGTTAAGGGTTAAGGGTATAGGGTTTAGGGTTTAGGGTTTAGGGTTTCGGGTTTAGGGTATAGGGTTTAGGGTTTATGGTTTGGGGTTTA